TCCATCAGGATCAGGACCTCCACAATCAGGACCCCAGGATTGGGGCTCCCCAGGATCAGAGCCCCCCCAGTATCAAGCCCCTCCAAGATCAGGACTCCTCCGGAATCAGGAGCCCCCAGGATCATGGGTCCCAAGGATTGAGGTCTCCCCCCGCCCCACCAGGATTGAGACACCCAGAATTGGGATCCCCAGAATCAGAACTGCTGGGATCAGGACTCCCCCAAGTTTAGGACCCCCAAGATGGGGACTTCCCCAGGATCAGGACCCCCAGGACTGGTGGCCCCCCCAGGATTAGGGCCACACCAGGCGCAGGCTGCTGGGGCTGGGCCAGGACATAGAGGCAGGTTCCCCAGAAGCTCATGTCAGCACCGTCGCAGGTGCGGATGTGCTGCCCGCCCCACACGACGCAGGGGCCTCCCCCGGAACCTAGGGGGAGAAGCAGGGCATTATGGGAGCCGGCTGCAACCTCTGCCCCCAGTTCTGATCTCCGACCCCACCACGGCAGAACCCCGACCTCTGATCCACTCCACCGACTCAACCTGACACACTCTGCCCCAGCCCCGACCTCTGCCCCAAGGCATTCTGGGATGGAGGGGGAGGACTACCAGGATCCAGGGATGGTTGCCGTGGTGCTGGAGGTCGTGGGATTCACCCCGGGCCCTGAGGGGCGAGGTGACACAGACACATATAAAACCTTTGTACGAGGACTCAGCTCCTCGCACGGAGGCTCATGGGAGGGACAGGGCGGGACAGCTCCAAGGAGACCGGGCCCGGACACCTGAGTACTACACAGGGGAGGAGAGACGCGGGGGGGCCCAATCCTGGCTCTCACCTGTTGGGGTCTCAGCACCAGGGATCAGATCTGCCCTGCAGAGAAGAGGGTCAGAGGTCAGGGCTGGGTTGGGACCCCCGATCCATGGGGGATGGGGCAGGTCCTGAGGGCTCGCTGGATCCCGGTAAAGGGCATCTCTCAGCACCCCGGACCCCTGGGTCCCTCCCCCGCCAGCTCCCCCCCCCAGGTCTTCGGAGCTCACCAGGCCACGGCTCCCAGGACCAGCAGAAGGCAGAGGCGGGCACGGGCGCCCATGGTGGACGCATGGACAGACAGACGGCGTCTGGCCCAGGGCAAAGGCACCGCCCCCCCGGCCACATGGTGGGGACCTTGTACTCCCCCACCCCCTCCCACAGCCACACCC